ACAGCCATTGCACCTCATTGCAGATGTGTAAATTATCTAGAGCTGTCTTTGTTATCCTCTAAGCTATTTTGAGAGTGGGAATGTTTTGTGGGCTTTTGGCAGCTTTTGCTCACACCTACACATATTCAGTACTGGCTTTACATTCCTTTCTAGTCCAGGATGAAAGAGAGACATAGTAAAGCCACACAGATTTACCTAAGTTGGGTGCTTACCTACACTGTTGGAACACATCAGTTTGTTTGCTATTTATTTTTGACCACCTAGGCAGCCTTGGACTGGTTTAAAGTTTGGAACTGGAATATGAACAGGGAATTTCTTGACATGCGGTAGGAGGACTTTAAAAGGGCAGTGAGAAGGAAATGCAATGTCTCGATTTATTGTGAGGTTCTTCAGGAAGCTGCATGATAAACTGATTACATGATCCTACTCACAGGACCTAGACCAAATATGAAATGTAGCCTGTTACCAAATACTTTTATCTTCAAAGATCATGTATAGATCTTCCTGACTGTAATGTTTTTAAATCATTGATTCTAGGAATTAAAACCTGTTGGTGTTTAAAACTGTTTGCTGTGCATACATAGTATCAGTCCTTGTGATAAGAGTGTATTTGTCTTGGGCTAAATTCTACCATGGGACTGCATTTTCAGTCAATCATTTGAACAGATCAACACCAGTCTATCCTTGGCCTCATGACTGGATAGAAATCTTGCCCTGTTTTGTATATTTGAAGCTATTGGAAGCAGAGCCTGTATGCCTTTCAGTTCAAATCCATCAAGGCCAGAATCTAAAAAAAGAATTAGATGTCATTATATTTCAAGGGTACTCTCTCTGCCTTGACACATTACAAAATTCTACCTTAGTATTAATGAGGAAAAGTGCATAAATCTCATTTTAAACTAGAACTAATCTTAATTAGCATATTTGATGTTTTATAAAATATACTCTCTTTATACAAATTTTAAAAATCATCAGTGCATACAAAAAGCTGTGGAAATAGTTGACTGAGATTGTACAGTCTTCATACTACTAAGGTTATTTGTTAGCTTTGATTTCAGCAGACAATGGAACTGAGCAAAGAGGTTGGATAATTTATAGTAATTAAGGAAATGCAATGTTAAGACTGTAAATCTAAGAAGCTTCACCCTATGATATGACCATAAGAACTGCTTTCAGACAATTACTTTTCTGTCAGATTTAGATATCCATGTGCAAAGGCATAACAAAACAAGACATTCACTCAAGCAATTTGTGTGGGCTGAAAGGGCATTATAGGTAAATGCGAGGAAATATTTGAACTACGTTGCTTCCAATGTACACTTCCTTTTCAGCTACCAATCAAGAATATTCCAGGGCTCAAGAATATTGAGTTTAGGCTTTAAACTGGCAGAAGGCAGGATTGTGTTGGATATTAGGATGAAACTGTTTACTGTGAGGGTAGTGAGGCACTGGAACAGGTTGCCCAGAGAAGTTGTGGTTGTCTCATACCTGGGAGTGTCCAAGGCCAGTTGGATGGGTCTGAGCAACGTGGTCTAGTGGAAGGGATCCCTGCCTACAGTAGGGGGTTGGAACAAGATGGTTTTTAACGTCCTTTCCAACCCAAACCATTCTATGATTATGTGGGTACTTCCTTTTCATTCTCATCTATGTTTTTTGAGACAGAGAGTTATTAAACATCCTCAAAGGCTTTGCCCTGTTTTGTGGGCTTTCCATGGTGGTGATGAGCTGATCTTATTCAATGCTAAGGATCAGACTTAATCAATACTAAGATCATCTGGGTTACACTGCAACTCTAGCATTTGTTCTCTGTCTTGATACTTAGATCTTGGCAGAAGAGATTATATAGCACGATCAGGTTCAGATACACTCAATCTCTTTCATATGACTATTTATGTCATTACACTGAAAAGCAAATGCTATGAGCAAGATGGATCTTTTGGAGCTACAGAGCTCCTGATAATTACACTGCTGGGTGTAGGGCTAGGTGTATTAAAGGTTTTCATTTTCTTCTGACAATACTAATGGTTGTGCTTACAAGAGCTACATCATTTTTTCATATCTCTGTCACTATGTCCCACAAGGAATTGATTGTGTTATGTAAATATATTTGCTGATAACAATATTGTATCTATAAATATATATATAAAAAATATATGTATAAATATATATAAAATGGAGAAGAGCAGAGGAGTATCATGGCTTAAAAAAAGATTCAGATGAAAACTACATTTCTTCTTTTGGATTGCAGTATGTAATTTTCCAGCTATTCTTCATATAGGCAATTGAAGCAGTGGATAATTTGTTTTATGACTATCAGGAGACAGAATTGCGGTGTGACTTAGGGGGAGATAATCATGTGTGTGCAGTGCTAGAGAGGAAGCAGGAAGATACAGATTGAAGTTGCTTTGGTACTACAGCCCATTCTAGATTGGTTCCATCAGTTACCTAAACTCTAAAATACCATCACAAAGGCTTAAAAAGTCATGAGCATAATTACTCCTAAAGTATTTTTCCTCACAAAAGATACTATCTGTCTCTTTGAAATCATGGGAAAATGTCATGGTTCAGGAGGCAATAAAACAGAAATACCGTCTTTAGTAGACTGTTATAATCATCTTACAATAATATTATATACCATCCCTAATATCCCTAATTCTTTAAATTCTATAACCAACATTTTGTGGTATCCTAACAGATAATAAGTTAGTACCACTAACTGGTATTTATGGAGCTTGATCATTGCTTTGTGAATGAATGTTTTTTTCCAGTCCTTGGTCCTTGACTAAGGGTGAGTATTTAACTGTAGGTCTGATCTGGACTTCCTTCCTCCAAATCAAAACCATCTGCCTAAAGAAAAGAAAGCAAGGGAAGAAAGTAGAAAGGGAGATTTGTAATGTATTTGTATTTTTTTTTCCAACCCCAGGTGGTGTCAATCTAAGAAAAAGCCACAAAATAGACCAAAAGTTACAAACATGCCCTTGCTATCATTACTCTTAGTTTTTCACCAAGCCTGCACTTTATCTCTCTTATGTATATAGAGTTGCTGATCAGCAACATTTGCAGGCTTCCTATAAATAAAAGGGTTATAAAAAATGTGATATGGCTTCTCTGTGTGTGGTGGGGAATAACACAATGCAAATCCCTTTTACCATCCCACATGGCCTCTGCATGGTGAAAGAATTTCTATGGAAGAAATTTCTCCTGATTGTTTGCAGCCCACTTGTCAGACTGTATATGATTTGGAACATCTCCATATTGCAATTTATTCTTGCAGTCATTTACATCTCCAGAACTAAAGTAACTGATTACTTGGCAGCCTGTCAACAGGAGGAGGGAATAGAAAAACAACAACAAAAAAACCCAGCCAAAAAACCAAAAACAAACAATCAAAAAAAGGGAAAAAACCAAAAAAATTTAAAAAAAATCTAAACCCCACAAAGATACCCAAAGAAAACAAAAACCAAACAAACAAAGAAAAAAACCCTCAAAAAATATAAGGAAAGAAAATCATTGTAACTTGCATTTTACCAGGTTTCTTAACAAGTTTGCATCTTGTTCTTTAGAGCATTTTTTTGAAAGAGTGCCTTTTGGCTAGCTTAACATGAGAGAAAGATTGATGAATCCCAAATTAATACTCCCCTGTGGGATAAAAATGCAAACTTATCTAAAATACTATATTAAGTCCTGTCAAAACAGCTCTGGAATACTGAAATTTGAAAACTTGAAATTTTTTGTCCCAAGAGAACCATAGAATGATAGAGTATCTTGAGTTTGAAGGGACTGACAAGGATCATTGTGTCCAACTCCTGGCCCTGCACAGGTCATCCCCAAGAGTCCCACCGTGTACCTGAGAGCATTGTCCAAGCACTGCTGGAGCTCTGTCAGGCTGGTGCTGTCCCCACTGCCCTGGGGAGCTGTTCAGTGCCCAAACTCCCTCTGGTGAAGGTGATTTCCTTTTCCTGATATCCCAAGCCTCTCCTGACACAGCTTCAGGCCATCCCCCCAGAGCCTGTTTCTGGGCACATCAGTGTCTGCCCATCTGCTTCCCTCCTGAGGAAGCTGAAACTGAGGTGAGGTCTTCTCCAAGCTGAACAGACCGAGTGACCTCAGACACTCCTCATTCGGCTTCTGCTCAAGACCCTTCACCACCTTCACTGTCCTCCCTTGGACGCTCTAACAGCCCAATGTCTTTCTCATTTTGTGGTGCTCCAAACTACCCCCAGGACCTGAGTGTGGCTGCCCTGGTGCAGAGAGAACAGGACAATTCCCTCCTGTGCCCTGCAGCTGGTGATGCCTCCCCAACCAAGACAGGCTGAGAAAGCTGGGGCTGTTCAGCCTGGAGAAGAGAAGGTTGTGTGGAGACCTCCTTGCAATCTTCCAGTATCTGAAGGGGGCTGCAGGGAGGCAGAGGGGGATTCTTTGTTACGAACTGTAGCGGTAGGACAAGGAGTAAAAACTGAGCGAGGTAAAAACTGTGAGGAAAAATTTAGGCTAAATATTTGGAAGAAATCCTTCACTGTGAGAGTAGTTACACACTGGAACAGGTTGCCCAGGTAGTTTGTGGATGCCCCAGGTTGGGTAAGGCCTTAAGCAACCTGGTCTAGTGAGAGCTGTCCTTCCCATGGCAGGAAGGGTTGGGACTAGGTGGTCTTTAAGGTTCTTTCTAACCCTTAACATTCTATGATTCTACTATTTTTAAAAAGAGAAAATTGGGAAACTTATTTCCTCATGCTCTCTAAAACTTCATTCCACTCCGTGCTCGGTGTGCCTAACAAGAATTCAGTGTATTATTTTTGCATATGATTCTTGATTTACTGACTACGGAGATTCTGCTTTTAAGGGATTTTTCAGCATTCTAGAAAATCCCTTAAAAATAAATGATGTTAACTGTGTACTGGCTTACGTGTTAAAATCTGATTTATGTTTAAGCAGTTGTTTGTAAATTTCAAAGAAAGCTGTGATTTTTACTCAGAACTCTGCATCTGTTTCTTTGGTTTTAGATTGAGGAGGATACGTGGCAGAAATACTACCTGGAAGGAGTTGCAAATGAAATGTATACAGAATATCTGTCTAGTGCCTTTGTGGGTTTGTCCTTCCCTGCAGTTTGTGAGTAAGTAGAAATACATTTAATATGCAGAAGTATATCCCTTCTTGCAAGAGAAATCTAATTATTTTGCATGAGACCTTTTCACTCTACTAGAGTCCAAATGTTGCTACATCCGATGGTGTCTAATAAAATAAACATTAAAGCAATCACTGCATGGAAGTGTCTGGAAAATTGTAATGCCTGGTTTCAGGAGAGATTTGTAAATAAGTGATTGTAAATGAAAGCATAAATGGTTTTGGTATGGAGCAAACCCATTAGCAATCTTTTTAAATTCAGTTATTTACTCACAAGTACCATCTTGTTATTTTTTTAATGATTCCCATTCTTTGAATAGTGGTGGTCAGCATGACCACCTTGGCTTGTGTTCCATTCCAAGGAAACTATTCCTTAATTAACAGATGTCACGGAGTCATATAAGCAGTGTGGCACCTGGAGCTCTGTGGAAGTGGTTGCAAATCACTTGTTACAAGTGAAATATCTCAGAGAAGATAGGTCTATTCAGTTCTGAGACAGAAGCACATGGTACATAACCATAGCGTACCAGCTTCATTTCTGGAGACTGAAAAGTGCTTATATTTATCCTACAATGAGTCTGTGAATGAGAGATTTGCATGCATAAGGTTTGTATAATAAATACTCTGTCCACATAATCATGTTAGTTTAGCACACTCGTATTTTCTCTGCGGTTGGCATTGCTCTTCATTCCAGCCATACTGAAAGGTCACCACAAGGGAGTGGACAGCTTTTGCTAGGGACTGTGCAAATGCTTAAAAGGAAACAGACCCTGCTTGGATGAGCTTGGTGTCAAACTGGTTAACAGAAAAACTTCTGAAGATTCCATTCATAGAGGAGGAAATAGATGAGGAAGTAAAATACCATCTCTTATGTGAAGGAGGATGAGTATGTTTCTACTCCTCTAATTTCCCCAACTTTCCCAATTTTTACAGGGGCAAAAACATGTGACAGAGCCCAGTCATCAATTTGCTAATAAAGTTAAGGGGTTCTCAATCCATCCTTCTACTGTGTCAGCCTCAGTGTTATGAGTTTGCTGAGGGGAAAAGTTTTTCACTATAGGTACAAAAGTTTATGTGGATTTCTTGAAACAGGAAATCTCATCATTCAGAAAAGTATATTATATGAAGAATGAACAGTAGTTTTGCTGTTAACACTAGCTACAGTTAAGTCTCCATGCCAAACCATTTTCAAATGTGTCAAGTTTCTATATGAGTTTGCAAGAAGGTGTGACTGAGACTGTACTTGACATAAAGCTGACATTCATTTATCTGTGCTGATAGAATGGAGATAAAATAATCAATAAAGAAAGAGTGCTTACTGAGATTTAGAAACATGTCTAAACTTAGGAGCTCTCCTCAAGTTATCTTTTGGTTATCTGAAACATCTGAAACATCAGCAAACTCTTAGCTAGTTAAAGTGAAACAAAAAGATTTATCTCAAATTTTCCAACACACTAATAGCTCTATTAAAAGCACATTGAAAATTAAAATGTAGTGCTACTTATTAATGAGTTTAGTGCATCAGTATTTTTATTACTGTAAGAAATGACTGCTCAGTTTCCAGAAGAACTGAAGGACAAGGACAGCAAAATGTCCATTACATTGGTTTGTGAAGGGGAAATTGAGTCAATGGATAGGCTTAGTGTGTTCAGCTACCTGTGAAATATACAGACTTTGAGAACAGGTTTTGTAGTGTAGCTTTTTAAATTCATGCAGTCAATGGCATTTTAAAAGTCAGAAATTAAACGAAATGTTCTGCTTTCTCAGGTTATTTGTCATAAATGCAAGTCTAGGACTGTGATTCTTTTGTAAATAGGCTGCCATACGCCTGGATAACAAAGAGTGTGCAGATTTAGTGAGGGTGGGACATTCAATATTGCTGAAGAATTTCATGCTTTTCATGTCAACACTGGGGTGAAGAATTAGATGGAAACAGAAGCTAATATCAGTCTGCAAGTTCTATTTGTAACTCCACATGTGTGTACTGTGTGAGCATATTCCAACCAATATATTTTCAAGATGCAAATGTAGTTCCTAACATTCTGTGCCCTTGGATATTTCTGGACCAGGTGTGGATGATGATGATTGAAGATAAACTAACCAATCTATTTCCCACTAGTGCAGAGCCTTCTAATGTTTAGTAACATAAGGATAACCTTCACCCAGGTTCTAGGCCTACCATTCTCTCCCCCAAATTTTCCTAATGAGGCCAGCATATTTCTGAACTGACACTCGACCTAGCGGTGGGAACTGTCCGTGTGTGATGTTGGCTGTGGAAAGGGACTGACTCCTGGCCTCTTCTCTTCCTGCAGACTGGTGTTTGCGAAACTAAAGCTCTTAATGATAGCCATAGAATACAAGTCGGAAAAGCGCGAAAGCAGGTACGTCCCACGCCGCCGCTTGAAGTTCTCGAATGCCCTGTCAAGAATTTTGCCTGCTTTTTTGTTTCAGAATGAACATAGCTGTTCTTTTAAACATTTCAGAATGTAATTAGCATGCCATTGCATTGCAGCATTTCACATGGGACTGGAAGGGACTTATCTCTGCCCTCTTTCTCCCTAAAATTAACCCAAGTCAGAATGTTTAGTAAAACGTGCAGTAGTACAAATGTCTTATCTTCAGGAGTGATTTTCCTCATGGAAAAACTTAATTTTTTTTGTGTTTATAATGTATCACTTTTAATCAGAGGTCCAGCTTACACCACTGAGAAGTAGAAAACAGATGTGATATCAAAATTCATTATGGCTATGTGTATTCTCAAAATACAAATTTAATTTAAATTAGTTTATTATATGATACAGGATAAGCAAATAAAGGGTAAACAGAATATTTAAATGGTATCTGTTGTGACAAAACTTACATGAATAACATCATAAAATTAGAAAAGATTCATTTAGCCTTGAAATTACCAATTGGCTGGCTACTTTCATCAACCAAAAAGAAAACAATCATTATTTTTAGTACAAATTCACAGATGGGAAGTGTTTCGTGCATTTTTTATTTTTTTTTTGTGCAAAGTTCATAGAAAACTAATTGAACATTGGAGTCAATCTTCCATCAACTTGTCCATCACTGCTTTAAACAATATTCATTTTTATGTAAGAAAAATGTTATAAATGTTCTCTGCAACATGTGGAAGATAATAAAAATATGACAATACTGACTCTGAGAGGAATTTTATTTTCCTCTTTCGAAATTATGTTTTATACTGCTATAGTAAACCTGGAGTGATACATACTAGTTCATCTTCTTTTTGGCCACCTTTTAGTGGCCAAAGACACTTTTGGGGACAACTGCTTCTTCTCACAGGAGAACCAATTCTATCAATTGACCTCATTCTGCAATTTCTGGGGTTTTGAAAGTTTAATACTTAGTATTGACTTTCATAATTTTTCTTTATTAAAAGAAATTATAAAACCTATGTTAGACATTTGACACAGAAAAAGCAGTGTTACAACTATTTATGAGTATTTCCATGCCCTACAGTTGGTTTTGCTGGATTCTTCCATATGTTATAAAATTAAATGTGGTGTATGTACTGTTGGATATCATTTTTGTTCACACTATGCTGATTAAGAAATTAGGGTTTTTTTACTGTCAGATTTTTTATGCTGTAGTTAACTCCTGTAGGACTCTTAAAATACTTTTCCATTGAAAGACCTCATTCTGCATTAGCTAATGTAAAACAAACAATCTATTCTTCTATGAACAATTTAATCTCTTTCTAGAAAAAGGAGAAGTTTGATAGTAACAGCAGTGGAACAATTTACCAGATTTTGCCTTCAGTATTAAGAAATATTTGGTTTCTGTTTTTTCTCCTAACAATTATTGGCCAACTTTATATTGCCATTACTTCAGTTGTCATTTACTTACATAAGTGCTAATATTACAGTCTTTTGCAGTAATAACAGATTGTTCTTGGCTTTCCATATCATTCTTTACATTAACTTCAGTGGGAGTTGGATTGAGTTCTTAATCAAAAGGTGATGCAGAGGATCCCACAAAAAGTAACACAGTGTGATACAATCATATATTTCTTACTTAAAGCCACACAGGTAACAGTTTGAAATAATTATTATAGTATGGAAAAAAAAAAGACTAAAATTGCTGGAAACAATACTATCAAAGGGATATTAACAGCTGGAACTTTTGAATATGTATGTAACAAGAGGAGGGCATATAAGGTAGATAGACACATTTTTTTGTAACTCTGATCCACAGTAATATCTGCTGATTTCATTAACCAGTGATAATTTTATGGTCACTGTTTGATCAATCACATAGCTACCTGCAGCATATTTTTACTGTTTTACTTGCTCCTGTACTTTTCAACTCAAATATGTTAACTAAATATTTGTGGTTTTCTGATCCTTTAGTCAAACCAGAAAGGTAATGCAACAAAACTTCAGTTTCTCACCTCCTAAGTACACTTGCATTTCCATGCATCTTATTAAATGTAAAGGTGGGGAATTAAAATAAAAGTAAGAATAACACAGTTTAGAAACACAAGCTCTTTTTGAACAATGGACATTTGTCATTTGTCAATTAAGTTTGTTGATGCTGACATTGGCAATATTTTATTCTGCTCATATCCTTCTTCCTGGTAATTCGTAATAAAGGTGAAGAGAGAGATGACTATGGATATTCTTTTTAAACTTTCAGTCTCTGTGAGAGTGACGAAAAGTAGATACATGCTGATTTATTTTATAATTATACTTTGCATTCATGTTTTGTAAAACTATTACAGAAGTTTTATATCATTTAAAATTTAGAGAAACAGTGCTAAATATAACTAAACATTTAGAACATGATGAAGATGGCACCCTTTCATTAAAAGCTAATGCTTCCTGCCATATCTGAAACAGCTCCTGAAATGGTATTTTCAGAAGCAGGGGAAATTTTCAAAACATTCTTTCTCTAAAGGATGAGAAGGTCTTACTACCAACTGTTGAATTTTTATTACTAGTCATTATTAAATGTCTATATAATTAAATTATCTATCAGATTGCTTCCTTACACAGGGAGTTTCCTGTTAAGATTAGTTTCATTTGCCTTCATCACTTTGCACTCAGAGCTAAAGCAGTGAATAAGATTAAAGAGTGTGTGCAGCTCTAAACAGTAGTAATGTGAGAGAATTCTAAATGTCCTAATCCCTTCTTTAAATTTTCAACTCAGTCATAAGGATAAATACTGGTCCCATCTCATTGAATGGCAGACTTTTACTTGACTGTTAATATCTTCATCAGATGTAGAATGACATAAATACAAATTTACCTCTGCATGTTTTTTTTGGCCAGGCAGTCACCTAGATTCTGGTTTTCTAAACCTTTCTGATTTACAGTCAAATTTTGTTAACTCTACTGTAGAAAATTTGAAATCAATAGTATTTAAAAATTATCTAATAAAATAAGTTCATATTACTGTACATGTTAGTGGCAGCTGAGCTTCCTGTCTACAGACGTTTTTCTTCGTTTTTCCTGACTACTAATAAAGCTGCACAAAACAGAAAGTATCCCTTGATAAGAAGTTTTTGTCAGTTTAGGTAGGTAATTAATAAGAATTATGATATTACAGGATTGCTTAAAAGCAGATAGTCAAGCCTAAATATAAGTAATAGAGTTATAAATGATAAATGCATATTAATTTTCATATAATGGGTAGAGTTTCTAGGCAACTGCTTCTTATTGAGGTCTCTCGAAGATTAAATAAAAAAAAGAAAACATGATTAGATTTTTTTTAACCTTTTTATTTATATATTTGATAACGTTTAAATTATTTCTCGGCTGTCAAAGAAATCTCAGAGTTTAAAAAACTCAGTTTAGAGTGTTTCTGACCAGCCACTAAAGTCTGCATTCTCGTAACTCCAGCTCACGATATGAGTTAACCATTCCTTCATCTCTAATTGGTTTCTGGGAATGTTATAACCCATGATTAAAAACAGGGAGCACTTTAATGATTTTTTGTCTCCCTGATGCAAGCCAAATACTATAGTTTAAAAAATGCTCTTAGCACACTGGGAGAGGTTTTGCTTTTTTGTAGAAAAATGCAAAGGAAACATGGAGAACATGAACCTGAAAATATCCCAATGTTAAATATATAGCAAAAAATAACAGTTTAAAATTCAGACATTCAAATTCCTCATCTGAAATCCCTTTTAGAGAGATTTCTGCCTTCATTTTTCCCCTGAATTTTTGTTCTACATAACTAAGCAAGAAGGAAAGCCTAACCAGGATTCTTCCCTCCTGCTCCTCTTTTGCACTCCTCTTGTAAAATTTTCTCTTTGCCTATCCATATATTTGTTCTCATTCTCAGCAGAAAAACCTTTAATCCTTGAAGACTTTTAAATAAAGGGTTTTTTTGCTTTTGCTTTGGTGTCAGTTGATTTCTTATCAAAGTGTTTGATTTGCAATTTTTTTCTTGTCGTTTGCAGAAGCCGAAAGCGGTATGCCCTCTTCGTTACCTTTCCTTCCAACCTCAATCCTACCTCCTTCTAACTTCAGGACTAATTCCTTGCCAAGAACACAGGAAGATAACATCTTTGTCTATCTTTCTCTGTATATACACACACATATATACCTATATATATTCATCTATCTATGTGTGTGTGTATATATATATCTGTGTGTATATTTATATATGAGCCCCCAATCTCAAAGAGGAGAGAGAGAACAGCATTTTGTCTCTCCAGTGTTTCTTGTGACTCACGCACTAACTTCTTTGCAGGAAGTACAAAATAAAACAGGATTAGTTTTTTAGGCTTTTTTTTCCCCCTTTGTGGAGTCATTGATGTATCAGATTGTTGCCATTTGGAAAGCAGATTTTATTGTTAATATCTCCTGTCCTCATTTTGACTGTATCATGACGATGTATATTTCGTCTTTACCAGCCCTTGTACTGCCATATTGTTTTCATATTCACACCTTCATTGATGTCCTTCTTTCCCCAGAATCCTCCTTTAAAACACGTCTTACAACACAGTAGTTCATGTTCTCTTGCAGTCTCATCTTCCATTAACAACAACCAAATACCTGATTCTTTGCATTTCCTGTTTTGAGTCCAGTTACTCATAATACAGTACTCATTAAAGCTATTGTACTGTTCCAGTGAAAGTGCCATGGATAGTTTGTCTTACATGTCACATTCATTTTAATGACATTTATTAACCCATTTATGAAGACGTTACTGAATGTATTTTTTTTCTCAGCTTTGGGGTTTTTTTTTGAGATGGCATGTTTTGCATTTTCTTTGGTGCACCATGCTGTGAGTCCCTCTCTAGTCTACATTCTATCATGCTGCTCTTGGTTTGGATGAAGTAAATAAGGCATGCTCTTCCATATCCTTGTCTCTCCTCACCTCTCTTCCCCTGGCAGCTTTTCTTTTTTTTTTTTCCTAATTGCTTATAGCAGTCTGTCTGCCTGTCAGTGATGGTCTTTGGAGACCTGCTCGCATTGTCCAGACATTTCAATTTCCTTCTTCATTGTTCTCTTCAAACTCTATTTTCCATGTCTGTTCTATTGTGGATGTTGTATGTGTTATATGTGTTTCAGTTTTAGTCTTACCTTCCTATAGTTTCTGAGTAGATATGTGATAAGAGAGGTGGCTTCCTGTCAGTTTGGCATTATTGATATGATCCAACTGCAGAGAAGTTACTGCAACACATAGCATCTCCAAGGATCTGCAGCTGTTGCACCTCTACTTTGCTTCTTGCTTTTAAGTATATCTTATCTTGTGGTGAAGGCATGTTAATGCTGGCATGATAAGCAATATGAAGACGTGTTGTACCAAGTGAAGTTGCTTGCTCCCAGAATAAAGTATGCTGTTCTGCCTCATTGTACTGATAATTAATCACTTCTGGAACCAGAAGGAATAACTTAATTGTTTCCAAGTGTACCGAGTTCACCACCACTGTTGAACTAGTTTGGACTGTGCCCAAATAAAATACCTCATGCACATCCTGTAGACCATGACTTAGTAGGTGCTGTTGTAAAAAAACTTAACTCCTGGGAGCAACCTTTTATATGCTTGTAGTAATTAAGCTTTAATATACTGTAGCATGTAATGTGCACTGTGTTTTTTGCCTTGTATTCTTTTTAGAGTCTTATTAGATTTTGCTGTATAAAGCAATATGGAGCATTATGAATTAATGTCAGTGATAGAGCCCAGAAAAAAGAAGCAATATTTATGAATTACAATTAGTGTGAAAACTGGTATGTGCACAACTCCACCATGAGATTTGTGCACCTACACTCACACTCCACTTCTAAACATACCCTGAAACAGAAAAATATTATCTCAAATAACTTCTGTAGTTGTATGAATGACATAGTATGTTCTAAAAGGCCATTATGCTAATAGTGGTACTTTTTATCTGGGCATAGCATGAAGCAGTCAAGAATAATAGCTGATTTTGTTTAAAAGTGTGGTAGCTATAGTAAGCAATAACACATAATTTTGTTTTAGGTAATGTATTCATAGTAATTAAATAATATTATATCTTCCTGATTACTGGATGATATTGCTACTGTTTGAGTTGCATGGGGAATGGTACAGCACATCTACCACAAGGTTTAAAACAGAATTGTTACAGCTTTTGTCATTTGTTTAGTCAAAATTTTGGTGTTCGTGTTTCGTTTAATTCAACAATTGGTCTTTTAAATGTCTAATCTCCTGTTAGGTATCCAGACATAGTCCATAATTGCAAGGGAAGAGAGAGACAGTTCTTGAATGCATTAGAATTCAATCCTAAATGAATCCCACCGTTAGTGCTGTCTAAAATGTAAAGTTGAAAATAAGACCAAACAGGAATAGTACATAACAGAGGCATGGATAAGGAAAATCCTTAAAAGACCTCTCCTGGTCCATGTTTCTATTGATTAACCTTATCTGTGCTTTCAGTTTTTAGTCTTCATGTAGTGCTGTTAAAATGTTACCCTTGCATTTTGCTGTGCTGTACTTGCTGGGCATCTCCACATGCCTTTGTCAGCTCAGTTTAAAGACCTTCACCATACCTGTTCCATATTAATAAGATCCCTCTTGTTTTTCTCAGAGAAGGCTGATGGTTCTGCACACCTCAGAGCCAGCTGCTGTACTGCTATGTCTAGATTAAGAGGTGGAAGTTCTATCCATTCCCAACTTCAGCAGTAGTGGAAGCCTGCTCAGTTTCAAGCTGTGCAAAGTAAATTGTGGAGCCATGCCACTTAGCAAGTGGCCTGCCAATAAATACAAACTGCATAATGATGGTCCAGACTCTGACACTGACTGGTTGTTTCTTCCATGTAGTTCACATAGAAGATAGCTGAATATTCTAGAAAACTACAGTAAACATTTTCCATCTCCTACTGAAATATTTTGTATGCTGATAAATTATTAGATGTAATGTTTTAAATATTCTTGAAATATATGAAATATATGAAATATATGAAAATATATCAGCTTTCTATAGCTTTGTAATGGTGTTTTAGACCAAGAAACATAATTTGAGTGAAATATGTGTGATATTTGAAAGCAGGAGACAAAAATCACCTAGCAGCATTTTTTACTTATTTTTTATAAGTAAAAAATAAATAGCTGGAGGGAATTAGTCCTACCCCAAGTGCCAGTTCAGAAATTGTCTTACAGTTCAAGTCTCCAATTAGGCTGTCCATCAAATATCTTTATGTTCACAAAAACATAGAAGATATACAATTAGTGATGGAAACCTTAGATTACTTTTAGTGCTTTAAAGGAAGATATAATATGGTATGCTTTAGCTAGGTCAGAATATTCATATTTTATGCAGTCAGTCATCCATGCACTACCAAAAATTGTATTGAGCAGCGTTCATGTTCTGGAATAGTTTCAGGTAGATAAGAATGGATGAACAGATATTTTCATGTATCTGCATTTTATTAAAGGTAACATGTATACTTAAACCATCAGAAAGATACAATCCAATAAATGTTGATCACAATTAGCACACAGTGAGAAATATGATCAGATATCTATGTCATCATGTCCTATCTGAAATTTTCATTGAACAATCTGTGTAAAGAAAATCATAAACGTTTGTCTAGAATTTCTGTAACCTTGTTTCAATTTTTTTTTTTTTTAATTTTTTAATTTTTTGAAACTGTGCATCTCAAATGTGCACTGATTTCCATTTGTGTTACACCTGCTTCTATTTCTGTCAGTCTGGGAACTCATTTTCAGCTGTGTGGATAATATTTATGATTCTTTCATGTGCTTTAAGTGTTCAGTGTCAGATTGGATGGGGCTTTGAACAATCTGTTCTTGTGAAAAGTATCCCCGACCATGACATGAGAGTTGTAATTAGATGATTTTAAAAGGTCTCTTTGAACATAAACCATTCTGTGATTCAGTCTGTGATTCCTAAAAATCCGACTGAATTCAAGGGTGATTTCCACATTTTCAGTGTGGGACATTTTCACTGCTGTTAGGTGCATGATCTCGCACCTACTCACCAAGTGAATCTTTTTTAGCAAATGGGGTAGCTTTTGCAGATATGTGTAAAACAAAGATTTCCAGAGTGCATATTCTATTCCACAAGTGGTTTCCTAATTGTAATATTATTGAAAAGAAATGGAACTGACTTTTCATAAATTTATGGTGGTGAAGTAAATAAAATTCCCACTGAACATATTAAATCATATTTAATTTACATGGTTTTAACTGCCATGTGTCCTAAACAGTCACGTGTGAAGAAGCAAGCAGTCATGTAAGCCCTGCCATGAAAGGTTTTGTCCTGAGGAATGTATTTCTGGAACTGGAATAGTTAAAGAAATCTATGACTAAATGTTCTTGAGTTTGTTATTGCTTGATTACTTTCTGAGGTAACCTAAACTAGAAATGTTATAAAATTACAAAGTTTGATCAATATCGTACAAGCTTCTAAGTACTTGGCCTTCCTTGCTTGGTTTCATGAGCTGATTTAGGAGATAAAAAAATCAAATTGTGCTTTACGATAAAAACATGTATTTGGAAAAATCAGTGTCATTTTCAGTAATATTTTTTCTAATGTGTGGCACAGAATGCATACAGATTAGCTATATTTATTGGTATTAAACCTCTTGAGTTTCTGTCCTTTTTTCCTTTTCCTTTGGAGCCTTGGAGATACATTAAAATGAGACATTAGCTGAAGCTGTCTCTTTTAAAACTCCTATTTATTTTGCCCTGTACTTATATTCTCAACTATGGGGATATACATATATATGCATTTTTTCATATTAAAAAAACCACATGTGTCTCTGATGGATGCATTTTTCTTGGAATACTCAGAAGACTTTTTTTCTCTGTGCTGTTTGTTCCCTATATTCTATTTTAATTCAAAACATTACCCTTGCTGTAAATATTAGAGTGAGTGCTTATCAAAGCATAACTTCAGCTAAAGACACTACAGGTGTCATAAGAAATAATTCAGTTGCAGCTTTAATAAGCAGTATATTTAATATATCCACAGAGCTCAGTAGAAATTACTCATGATTTTTCCCTGGTTATATATCAGTGTGTATATACACCCAAAGCTTTATGAGCTTTTGCTGTAACTCTTAGCCAGTAGCAGTGATGGGGCAAATTAATTTTCATTTCCAACAGAAGATTTTGCTGCTGGGCTCATACTACATTACCTGTGACCACATCTATATTTTGTGGTTATAAATACATTGTATTTGAGAAAAGAGGTATATGTGAATGAAGTATAAGATCTGACAAAAATAAAGTCTGTACACTGACCCATGTGAATTGGTTTAATGTGTCTCAGAAAACCTTGAGATACAAAATCATGCTCACAATGCTTTGCATCCTAAATGAAGCCAGTTACTTCTAATTTAAGACTATGTTCCATGCATCTCAAAAGAACTGCTTCATTTGCTTATTACTTCATCAAATTTTAAATTTCATTATGAGAAGTGAACATTTCTATATCTAGTGGTTACCTCAGTTTGTGGAGTTTGGGTTGTTGAGGTTTGGGTAGGATTTTGACTCTTTGGTATAGTTTCTCTATATCCAAGAAGGAAAAAAAAACCAGCCTGGGTCTATGTAAAGAAATGTGTTCATCTGTTTTCACTGAAAAGCTGTAACACTTATGTCACTTAAGAATCAAGTAAGGAAATAGAAAGTATTTTTCAGATAGAGCAGTACCCATTTGTACCTAAAAACACCAGCCAACCCGACCTCACATATTTTATAAGGAACAGTATAATAAATACATTAGATTAGCCTCTATAGAAGATTTTGTCAGTTTAGCAGTTGAGTTCTCAGTGCAATGGCAGGTTATTACGTATTAGCAGACAGAGAGGAGGAAAGGTGGAGACTAAGATGGCCAGTACAGCACCCTGCAAGCACTAGTAAATGCTTTGTGGGTTCAAGTGACAAGAGCTTGTGCAGGAAAGCAAAATTTTCCAACCTGTTTTGACCTGAGTAACTGGTTTCATATGAAGAAATTCTTATGTGGTAGTTTGTTTTTTTTTCCCTCTTCTCCTTTTTGATTCCATCTTGATTCTGTAAAATTGCATTTTAAAACTCCATTTCATTGCAACTGCAGCCATTAGGCCCAATTCACAAAGAAATACTAGATATGACACTAGATGATAATAGTTGATGATGGATGATACTAGTTTAGCTTTAGTGTAACTTTATTTCATCCCATTTTTCCGTGTGTGTAATACAGATGTTATTTATACCTTCACATTTCATTTTTTACAAATACTAGTAAAGTGTGCTGTGGAGATGAACCTGCTTTCTGTCGTGATACCTTCCAATTCCTGTAGTTCTCCTCTCCTTTTTATTTGTTACAAAGTTTGAAACTGTGAATGAAGGAAAGGGAAGGATATCTGGGTAGATGCTTTCTTTGAGATTTTATTTCTGTTCCAGCCTCCTACACAGGCTATCTGAGAGAGAAGATCATAATTTAAACCAAACCTTCTCTAGCTGACCTCTTATTAAGTATATTCATTATTTTGGGAATCAGAGGCTAGGCTTTTTGAAATACTGAGCATTTTCACAGCAAAAGTTCTAGAAAGTGTAGAGTGGAGCTACGCAATGCTAAACACTTAAAAAAATTGGGCTGTAGGTATCCCAAATTAATAAGTACTATATCTCATAGTGACTTAATCTCTCCTCTGCAAAATGGGGTAATACTATATCTTCATTCTTCCTGTAAAAGAAATTATGTGTTTGTGAATCTTTTGCATGTGGTAGTGGCGAACATTGCAGAAAAACACACAAGAAAAATATGATGCTGATTTTAAGGAGAGATAAATTACATGAAGCCATGCCTGAAGTAATGGCAGTAAAATACCACTGAATGAAGTTTCAGATTGCGGGAAGGAAGGAGTTTGTGGGTATTAAATTAAAACTGTATCATAAGATCTACATAATGGGGGCTGAAATATGACTTCATGACCAACCTTTTACTTTTGAACTCATGAGCACTTTATTTTGTGGCCTGCATATTCTTGTCATAGGGCCTTGCAGGCATGTGGAATAACACAAAACAATGTGCACATTATTAATCTTTCAGATATATTATGTTGTCATACTAATTTATTCCTAATGTGTAGAGAATAAATAACATATTGAATAAGAGATGTACTGAGATTCATTTTGCCTCCTAACAATAGCATGAAAGACTTTGGACCATCAAATTTTAGTAATGTATGTCTGTTCAGCATTGTGCTTTATTTATTTTTGTATATATGTCTCTTCCCAAAAATCAATTTTTTCTAGATGGACAAGTGTTTAAATTCCTAGTAGTCTTTATTTACTCTAAATTGCATATGCATACCATTACTACATTTTGAGTTAGAAAAGCTAAACTTTAATAAAATACAAAAAAAGACAAAACTTTTGAAAAGGTATATTAAGTTGTAGAGAGTCAAAAGCCAGGATATATTACACATTATTAAATCTTACTGGAGAATATACTTATATTTATCTCTATCTGTATATTCATATTTAGCTTGGTACTTTGCAGAACGCCTTACCTAAAGCCTAAATTATTATGAAAATAAAGAAGATATTTCATAGACGTGGAATACCTCATTTGTTGATACCAGTTCCTTTGCAAAGTTAGCTAAGGCTCTTCTGTCATGGTGGTTGGGTTATTTTTGTTCTTTCATGGCTACATAGCAGTGTTTTAAAAATTTTCTATTCATTTTATGTTTTTTCAGCTGTCGTGACTGGTTGTCTTGTACCATTCCCCTTGAGTGTATGTGTGTATTTATTATTTTAAACAATAACATTGTATGTCCAGATAGGGGTCCCATTAACTTTCTATTTCGCTAGAAACTGGCAAAAATTTACATCAAAGGGTTTAATTTTGTGATGTTTTTTGTTGTTACTGAGTGGTGGTTGATGGTTCTTTCCTTTTCACCATATTGTGGATTTCTCACCACTTTGCATGACAGAGCAAGCAAACAGCAATGCTCAACTTCACACTTCACGTTTCTGAGAGGATTTTATGTAGTCTGTGTTTAAAGCAAAAAGATAAGAAAACACATGTAAGCACTTAGATGATGTGATTATAGGCAGAGGCATTTTATTGTCTCAAACTAAAGTTTTTGTAAAAAGCATGTGAAACTGTTATTTGATTGGAAATATCAAGGAAAAATGGCTTAAAATTTCCTTGCCGTCTTTCCTAACTAGTGGGTCCTCTATAACAGAATCAAATAAAGCTAATTTGGAAGATTCAGTTAAAATTAATATAAACTTATTGTTTTGTTGGTTTTGTTCTTGTTTCACTGAGCAGTATATTAATCAATCCTGGAAACCACGTCAAGATTCAAGAAGGTACCTTAGGATTCTTCATTGCAAGTGATGCCAAAGAAGTAAAAAGGTAATTCATACATTTTTACCTTTGAATAGAAACAAATATATTTAATTATTTTTTTTTTCTTTACATGTAAATACTTCACCTAATTTTCATTATTAGCTGTTTAAAAATTCCGAGGGGGAGTTGAGTTGTTACTCTTGAACCACCCATGTGCATGTAGTTTTTCTAACTACTGTCCTCAATATCAAGGAAATGAAATTTGCAGCAGATATGAAAAGAAATAAAGAAGCTGGGTTTTTGAGCCCTCCTAGAAAATGTGAAATATTTTCATTTGTTTTCTCTATACTTATTGAATCTAAGAGGAATTACGATGGGAGAGGAGGACAGGGATGACAGTTCAGTTTGTTTTTGGGTTTAGAGGAGTTCTTGTCTACACTGACTTTAGCAAATTCTTGATGTGAGCTACAGTGTTCATTCTGTAACTGCATTAGCAAAATAATATTTATGTTCTTGTCATTTTTCTTTAATGGATCTACAAACTCTATGGCCTCATGATAATAAATCAAACTACAAAAGTGCATTATATCCATTGCAGACAACTTCACAGGCTCAATGTACCTGGCTTTACCAGATTTGGAATGAACGAAAAGGAGTTTTATGATCTTGTGTTGAGAAACAAATATGTATACTCATGTTTTTTAGGATTACAGTATGCTTGGAAGGAACAAAAGAGTGATACGATAAAATAATTTTTCAAAGAAAAATATTCAGTGTCCCTATGATTAAAAAAAAAAAGAAAATTAATATTTGCAGCTGAGTGCTTCCTCATAATTTGTATCTTTGTTATGAGTCATGCAATGAGGTTTTTACTGATGTTTTCTGTAAGTTTTGTATTTTAGCTAAATCTTAAAATTATAAAGTATTCAAATTATACCCTTTATTAACTTCCAACCTTTTAGGTTTAAAAATAGTGATATAAAACCTAACTATGCATACTTGCCCTGAATACTTAAAGAAAATCAAAACACCAACACAATGAAATTAGAGAACTTGAATTTTGTTTTCCTTGAAAGGACTAGGATAGTTTTTGCCTAGGTGAGACATGCAGAGCAGGGAGGTCCTGTCCTGTCACATCTGTAGCAGCATCCCTGGAGCAGGAGCACCTTGCACTGCCTCAGGGACTCTGCTTGCAGCATTCAGTTCTTTTCCTCTCTGCTGCTTTTCTCCAGCTGAATATACAGAACTGTCTTCACACTTTACTGACCTGCTAGTTTTCTTTCATTTATAAGGCATTTCACACTCTCCAATTAACTTTTTCTCAGACTGGAAGTAAAATGATGTAGCATTTTTAACTGCTAAGGTTAGGGAGAAGTTAACTGTTATTAAGGAGTTTAGACAAATTTTTCACATCATTCATCTGCCATGTTTTATTTGATAGTGAGCACGAAACAAGATTCCCAGTTCTGCCTGGCTTTTGGCAGAAGGCTGTGTTTAGAAATATCCTGCCTCCCTTGCCACGTTTCTTAGCTGCTCTGTGCAAAGTAAATGGTTATCAGATGTGTTTCAACTAACAAAGCCAATTATGAAAAGTGTTAATTTCACCCTTTGAGCTATGAATCAGAGTCAGAAATATGTTCTAAAAGTGGGGTCTTTTGGAGGGGAAAAATGATTTTTTAATAAAGCATAATTAAACATGTTTTATACCTGAAATGCAAATTAAATTATTCTGGCTTTGTTAATGAAGACATTTCAGCTCCCTTAAGCTAAAGTTATTCATATTTATATATCCCACAGTGAAATATAACATATGATGTTCAATTACTCCTTCTGTTAAAATCACTTTTGCATTTTTAGAAGAGCAGTTTCCCATAAGAAGCAATTATACCTACAAACAATTATGCCTAGGTAAATAGCTTCACATAGAATCTTGACTGTTTAAATATAATACAAACTATATGAATTGCTTCTTCATTATTCTTTATTCATTTACATGTGCTAGCATCAGAAATCCACATTCTTCAAATCTACTAAATTTACCCCAGTTTTCTAGAATAATTTTATTACAGCAATCACTTCAGGTATTTGTTCTTTACTTTGGACATAGGATTGAAGGTACCCTTTAGGACAATTGTCCTGCACTGAACTTCAGAAACAGATCTCTAGCAATTACCAATATCCAGTTCATGTTATGAAGTTTTTGTGAAGGAACTATTTGTGGTAGTTGATTCTCGTTTAATAAGGAGACTTTACAGATGGACTGGAGAGAAATTGTAAATTTTGAGGCAGTTTTCTCCTCCTGACTTACATCTTGACATCGACTCATGGTTTGAAAAACATTTTCTTCTCATTTCCGTGGAAATAGTTTATTTTCTTTTTGCTGGAATGTGAATATCTTAAAGAGCAGAAACTTTCTGCAGCAAAGTATACATGCTCAGAGAAGACATTTTCCTTTTACATTTTGCATCTTGGAAATACTAAGGCAATTTCACAGCCTGCAGGAATAATCTTCCTGGAAGTTTCCTAGAGAAATAAAGTGCGCTGTGTTTAGGACTTACATATTCCATTGGTAGCATCATACTATATTGATTTTAGAAATGTTTTAATAGCATCAGTGAGGTCTCTCTTCAATTTAAATTTGAAGCACTGATATGCTTCATCTCTTGTGTGCTAGGCCTGCTATCTTTCTCATGATGGGTCCCTTAACCAACAGTATAGTTCTACCTGCAGTGGCCATGCTATAGTTAATCTAGAAGAAATAGTAGTAATCATCCTGGCTGCAGGGCCAAAGGCTGTGTTTGATCAGGCTGTGTATTAATATTGGTTTGGTTTTGGGTTTTTTTCATATTTTGGACTGTAGATTGTTTTGTTTCAGTGGCCTCCCAGCTGTTGTAGCAATCTAACGATCTTACTGTCAGCAAAATATGTGGGTGGTTGCAAAGTGGGGGCTTTGCCTCTTACTGCCAAATTATATTGAGAAATATGCAATAAGAGGGAGTTGGGAAGATAGGCAGGGAGCTGACCTATCCTGAGTGGAGACAAGGGCAGGGAAAATTCATCAGGTTGAAAAGTATGTTTCATTTGCTATGCCAGCAAGAACTGTAACTGTCCTTCTAGAGTCCAGCTGGGTGATCCCCATGAAAAGGGTCATGGCAGCCTTACAGGACATGTTGACTTGGTGGTCATGATTGAATGCTCCTGTGGGCAGTGTGATGCTTGTGATACTTGTTAAATCAGAAATTTTAGGAAATCTTATATGAAATTAGAAGTTTATCCTTTCTCACTTCCTTATTTCTCCTTGTGCTGGCATGGGGAATCCGCAGCTTCTCTGTGCAACCTGTACCAGTGTCTCACCACTGTCATAGACAAGATCTTTTTCCTAATATTGATTCTAAATGTACCATCCCTCTTTCAATGTAAACCCATTCCCCCTTGTCCTGTTTCTACATGCCCTTGTAAATACTCTTGCCCCATCTTACCTTTAAGTTCCCTTCAGGTACTAAAAGGCCACACTTGGGTCACCCAGAAGCCTCCTCTCTTCCAGGCTGAGCAATCCCAATTGTCTCAGCCCTTCATTGTAGGAGAGGTGCTCCTTCCTGCAAGATCTCTCTAACCTGTCTAAGAGGGGGTCTCCTCTGGTCTCACTCCAACAGGTCCATGTCTTTCCTGTGTTAGGGAGCCCCAACGCTGCGGGTGTGTCCCACCAGAGTGGAGCAGAGGGGCAGAGTTCCCTCCCTTGTCCTGCTGCCCACGGGGCTTTGGATGCAGCCCAGGACACATTTGGCTCTCTGGGCTGTGAGTGCACATTGCTGGCTCGTGTCCAGCCTCTCTTCCACCAGCACCCCCAAATTCTCCTCAGCAGGGCTGCTCTGGATCTGTTCATCCCCTGGATTGATACTGGGAGTTGCCCTGACCCTGCACTTGGTCTTGTTAAACCACATGTGTTTCCCAAGGCCCAATTCTTGAGCCTGTCCAGGTCCCTGTGGATGATATTCTGTGTTTCAGGTGTGGCCAAAGCACCACTCAGCTTGGTGTCATCTGAAAATTTGCTGAGGGTGCGCTTGATGCCTCTGTGCCATTAATGAAGGTATTAAATAACACTGGACCTAATATAGAACCCTGAGAGACACCACATGTAGTCACACCACCACAGAAAGCTGCTGGTTGGGCAGGCAGGATTTGGTGAAGCTGTGCTGGCTGTCTGGAATGACCTGCCTGTCCTCCATGAGCCACAGCACAGCTTCTGGGAGGATGTGTTCCATGATCTTTCCAGGCACAGAGGTGAGGCTGATGGGCTGATAGCTCCCAGGGTCGTTTCTGCCCTCACTAAAGATCAGCGTACAATGTTGATCATACAGTAACAATCAAATGTTCAACCTGAATAACTGGCACAGGGTGCTAGACAGTCTTTAAAAAAAAATCACCCTGGTATAGCTGATAAGAACAAAAAATTCTTTTTTTTGTGACAAAATTTGTTGGATGCTCTTTTTTCTAAGATGAAAAACAAATAAACTAATACACTGTGGCATAATTATCATACATTCTTCTAATTACTTTTTAAATAAAAGTATATTAAAAGAAATACTAATTTGGAGCCTTATATTTGAAATTTATGGTCTTGCAGTAAATATTTCCTGCTTTAAATGTCCAAACCTTTTCAAAGATTAAAGGAAATTAGCATTGGCGTGTTTCATTAATTGGTCACTGGAACAAGAGGAAATATGGGACTAATTTCATTTATATGGATTAAGAAATGTGTCATTTTTTCCATTCTGTCTCTCCAGGGCATATTTTTACTGCAAGGCCTGTCATGATGACATCACGGATCCAAAAAGGATAAAAAAATGTGGCTGCAAACGGCGTAAGTAATATTTCTATCCCTCCCTTCCTCTCCTTTTCGTGAACTGGTCAGCCCTGAAGAATACCTGCACATGCATTTATGTGTTTTACACAATGGTACAGAAAAGCTAAGAAATACATGCACAGCAACGTAGTAAGTGCTATTTGGGTTTCTGAACTCCATGTGTTTTTATTACATTTCACATCACTCACACCTGTGTCTTCATTAAAAAGTAAATTGAAGTCCAAAGCTAACAAAAACTGAAGAATCAAGTCAAGATAGAACCTAACTGTGGAGGTTTCTGACTTAATTAGCCAACACTGAAGTTTTTCTCTCATTCATAACATGCAGAGATGCAGTAATTTCAATAGTTTTCTGTAAAGTAAATAACTGTCTTGATGAACCTGATTCTGGAAAAGAAGAAACTAGGGAATTATATTTTATCATATAGCTATTTATATAAATTTTGGTTGAAATAAATTAACAGTTTTACTGGAGGAAAGGGTTGTGTGGAATAAAACATTAGTGCCTCTTACATATATCCTTTTAGCTCTAATGCTAATATGAGGTTTAGTTAAGTTCTTAAACTGTTTGGACAGTTTTTCATGGAGAAATAATTGAGTTTTTGAATGGAGATGAGACTTTGCATCTGAATTTCTGTAAATATGCAGCAATCAGCATTTTACCCATATATACTTTGGAAGGACCCATTTCAGGAACTATCACAACCACACTTTGAACAAAAATGTGTTTGACCCATGCATATTTGTAATACTGATAGCAAAATTATTTAGGAATCAATTTCTCATTGAATATATAAATATTTATGTGTTTTCCATGGTATTCTGCCATAAAAAGATCATTCAGTTCAAAAGTACTGATTAGGTAAATTGAAAGATCTCAGAAGAATTTGATCATGCCTATTTTACCATTACTTTTAGAATGGAAAAAGCTCTCTTATTTGTAGCTTGAGTCTGTGTTATCAGTGCACTACTACAGAGGATGGAAGAAAGCCTAAGCTGAACATTCTCTGCCTTTTGGAGTACTGAAGTACCATCTGAAGTGGATGAACTCTTGAAGATCGTTTTGAAAAGAAAAAAAAATTATCACTGGAGGTTTTTTAAAAAACTCCTCTCCTCCAAAACACCAAGAGTGTGGAACAATAGTATGATAGGGAGAAAGCAGCTGGAACTGACAGAAAATGGTATTTATCTTCCCAGTAGCCACAAGGAGAGCAAAGCACATGGAAAGCATGCCTGATGTGGAAGGAATGTATGCATTGCCTAACATATTGGAAAAAAATTGTTCAAGAACAGTTTATCCATGTGAGAATGTGACCTTTGAACTGCTGCCAAAGCCAATGAGTCTGCTGAGTAAGTTCTGGTAAAGCCAGTTACAGATGCCTCAGGGTGCCTGTAACTCTCAAATGAAATCTTTTTTCCAAATTACTCAACAGTTAAAGAGAAATATGTTACCTGCTTCATTTTATCTGGTACTGTCAGGAAAAAAAAACAACAAAAAACAACAGTAACAAAAAAATTATTTCTATTTTCTTCTCCTTCACATGGTGTATGCTTTTTAAACATGTCGTGCTTAAAAAAAGAATAAATCCCAAAGATCTCTGAGTTTAATGTGAGAACTACACTTTTGATTGTCATCTCTTAGAAGATAGGAATCAGGAACTCACATTGTAGAGGATAAGAGCCCTTTATTATACATTAATGAGAATCAAGGTAACCTTCTCAGTATTTTGAAACCTGGGAGGAAGCAGGGTATGACCCAGCCAACACAGTGGATATTACCAGCAGTAGGGCCATGGAGAGGCAAGAGCAGCAACTTCTGTAAGTAGCAGTAGAAGGGTTACAAATGGCATGGTCACACATATCAGTCCAGTAAATGGAAGGGTGTTGGGCAGATGAACAAACAAAATGATTGAGTTAGTGAGGCAGAAGAAGGAGGTGGCTGGCAGAGGTGGTGCAGTGAGCACTGAACACTGAGGGAATCCTCTGAGTCAGGTGAAGAATAATGGTCAGTCAGAATAAAATTTAAAATATAATTATAAATTATAAGTTTCCCTTTTGTCTCCCCTCTCCTTAGTCTGCCCTATCTCCTGCTGTTTTTTAGATGCAAGGGGTCACAAATACCACAACAGCAGGCAGCTTGTAGAGCTGAGAACAGCTTTCAATGAGGAGCATGCTCACAAGTACTAGAAATAAGGCAATTACTTTGCTTTTAAAGAGCTGTCAGCCAGCAGAAAAAATTAAATTAAAAATTTTGATAGTAATTACTGATTTTTTTTTCTCAATTTTTATTGACAATTTTGAAATCCCTTTTACGGAACCTGCTTTTTGGGTTTAGGTTTGTTTTTAAGGTAAGTCTTTAGTGCAGTCTGTTATTCACATACAATGTTTTAGCTTTCAAATCACTGAGCACTTTTGAAAAAATTTATGTATGTTATCCATCTGTAAATGATGCAAATCATTGGTCTTAAAAATGCAGTTCTAACCAAAATGAAGTATAAATTGAGGAAACTTTTTCCCTATTTCGTTAGGAAACTGTCAACTGCTCTGTCAGCATGTAATACGTCACTATGCCAGTTTGATTTTTGACACATGCATCTGTATAGTTCTCTATGACAAATACATGCTTTAATGAGCAAGTAACATAGTAATTAGAGGCAGCTGAATGTGGAAAATATGTAAGATGAAAGGAAAGGTTGTGTATAAAGATACTGACACATTCAGGTGAATTAAATTCTGTTGAATTCTGTTGAAATGTGAAAAACTATCTTTACACGGAAAACTCAATTATGGTGGCTTTAATTAATGCAGCTTCCCATAATGCTTAAAACCCACATTCTTTAATAATGTATTTGAGGTTGCACTTCAATTTAGATACCTTCTGAACATTAGCTTGGGGTATTGTTGGGGTCTAAACGTGAGTCTGACCTACATAGCCATTTGTCCAAACTTGTTAGGCCTAAAATTAATAATTCAGGGCAGATCAGTACATTTCTACAAGGCCAAGGATAATTCATGTAATCCTGCTTTCCTTTTGCAGTTTCTTTGCCATCCCTTTCTTCTTACCCATCCCACTCCCCGAATAACACATAAATGCTGATGGCATATTGTCCAAAGAAATACTTGTGTGGAAATTCTATTTGGAGATTGTTATTTTTTTTTTTAATGTTATAAATCTCTTTCCTATTCCATTTAACAGTAGTTTTTGCAGCAAGAGGCCAGATACATGTATATATTTGTATAGAACGCAACCACTTTGGGACGAAATCTCTAAACTGGATGACCTATTCCTCCTGTTTCTCTCATTTTGTGCAACAGCTATGGTCTAATTCTCTATATATTTTTTCCAGTGACAGTGTTTGCTGTGAACGGTGGGGGTTGAACCCCAGAAGGGACAAATCATGTGTACATTGATGTGTTTGACGGAATTTCTTGTAATTGATGACAATTGACAAACTTTTGATTTATTTTTCCTCTTGCTGCCTTGGAACACGGCCCCTACTATATTTTAACTGCACACTGATAGTGATCTATTGTGAGTAAAAATGGGTTCCCTGTAGCCCAGAGTGCGGTCCAACCTGTCTTTCTCTAGCAGAGAGTATTTTTGTTCAGTATTTTGGTTCTTTTCTTTATTTATGTTGCATGTAGCAGTGACGTCATACCCACAAGTTTCTCATCGTTTACACCAATGGAGATTAGGGTGACGTTGAAGAAAATACAGCAGTTTCCCCTTCTTCCACCTATTTGCCCTTTTTTTCCACAAGCTTATTTTTTATCCCTAAATATAAATGAGATCTTGGCAATAGCATTTTCTTGAAATTATTGTAGAGATATCTCTTGAATTTTTAGGGATATTGGTGAGGCTGGGATAATTGCCACTGTAGCACTCTTTGCTTGGTTAAATACAATTCAATTGTCAGCTCCCCATTTAGTTTTTCTATACTTTGTCCTTTCCACTGCACAGCTGACACAAAGAGTAGCACAGCCAGTCTTTTACTGTCCTTATCTAATTTTTTCTCACCAATGACAGAAAAAAAAGGAGTTACGGGGGAAAGCCAGACAAAGCGTGGTTTTTAATGTATAAACCCAGAGATATCTTCCAGGAAACAAGCTGCAGTGATTACTTTCCTGAGCTTGCTGGGTTTGACATTAGTTAGGCACACACTGATTTTTCAGGACCTTAGCTGTAAAGTTTAACAGTATTATTATATATAGAATATGAGCTTTATGGACCATTTCATGTCAATCCGGGTCATACCACTTAAAAGTGTTTAGAATCTATGAAGGCTCTCATCAGCCACTTTGTGTGTACACTCATGGTAAATACAGCATTTGGGACATGGAAAGAATTTGCTGCTTAGAAATACAAATGCTTCAAAGACATGTACTGGTTGTAGGGCAGTGTTTGGATTATATGGGCTTGTTCTTTCAAAGAGCAGGGGGGATCAAGTATCTCTTAGCTGCAGTGCAGTGTTGCTGTGCCAGACTGAGACTGTAACTTTACTGTGAAACTGCTGCTTTTCTAAGTAAAGGAGGGCATGAAACTTCAACATTTTAACACATATTTTGAATGTATTGCATGAAAACACTTCAGGTCTTAATCAGGATTGAGATAATTTTCACCTCTTAGCTCTACACACTGTAGGATCTTGCAAAGAATCCAGGAATAATTTATTCTCTTGATAAAGTCTGGCCTTCTTGAAATCATGGTGGCCTGCATTATGATTATCATTATTTACTATTTATGTTATTGTGGTGCCTGCAAACTACACTAAAGGACTGAGATCCTTTTGTGGAAGAGAATATTCAAGGAGAGAAGAGAAATTTCTCCAAACATCTATTTTTAGCCAATAGAATGACACAGCAGAAAGATGAAGCAGCAGGAAAAAGCAGACTGTGAAACAGGTCAGCATGATAAGGATCAGCAATAAAAGAAATAAATTAATTTCTGTGGATGAAATGGTGGATCCTAATGACTTTGAGGCCAAATATTGGAAGTAATCTGGATTTATCTGAAGCAATGTGTTTATTTAAAATATGTTCTTATATTGAGACCTTTCTGAACTAAAGAAATTTGTTTAAATGGTAATAAATAAACAAGTAAGGGAGTTCTTCACGCTGTGAAAGAACTAGAAAAGAAAAGGTCATGTAGTTTAGTTTTGTTTTGTTTCCATTTCCCCAATAGCTTAAGTTTGTTTAGAAATGCAGTTTGCTTTGGGAGTACACTGGCTGAGAGTCTTCTGTAAGGTAATGAAGGAAAGGTCATGATCAGATTTGAAAATTAAAGTGAATTGGTCTATAAATGTGCCATTATATCAAAACCTCGAGTCATTCTTATATCTGCTAAAATAGGGCAAGATGTCCACTCAGGTCTCCTGCTGTTTTTGCAGTTTTGACCTAGAACAGCAGCATGTGAATTGGAGCAAACAAGAAACCGGTTGTCTTTCACAGCAAAAAATGGCAAGAGAGTGAACAAGCTCACTTGCTAGTCTTAAAGTTGTCTTGTAAAAATTAAATAAAGGAGAGATAGGTTTGCCTGTTGTGTTAGGGTTAATAAATTCTCACAAACAGTGTAAGGTAGGCTGCTGTATTTTTCAGGAAACTGAAACTGTGCTGGGGGAAGTCCTGTCTGTGTTTCAGTCTCATGATGCTAGCCAGCATTGCTGACAGGCGGTCGCACCGCTCCGGTCGCCCTTCAATGCTGATGATTTTTCACTCATAGTTTGGATCATGAGAACTTGATGAATTGAAATAACATTGTGCATTTCAATTCTGAAGTGTTTTGGGACCTTTTTATACCTTTTCATAGCTTTGGGTGGTCAGGAAACCTCCCGTTCCTGCTCTAAGCAGCTGCTGCCTGGGAGAGAGCCACTAGATGTCCTCGGAGCTCTACTCTGGCTCCGCTGAGCCCGGGGAAAGCACCGCAGTGATGGGAGCAGTACCAGGATGGGGCACAGCCTATGGGCTACAGAAAAATCAGGAGAGAAAGAATATTTTGTTCTGCTTTCTTTAAAAAAAAAAAAAAAAAAAAAAAAAAAAAGGAGCTGTTCCTTGACATTTTAGGTAGAGAATAATCTGCAGTTTCCTTTGCTTATTTTTGCAGCTGGAAATATTTCCCATTACTGTTAGTGAACTTTAAGTAACACTTCAGATCCAGACAATCTACACATTTTAACTGGACTTTTTGACTTTTTGAGATCAGAAAGGTATTGTAAGCAGCTTAGACATCTGGGGAACTATTCTTTCTTTTAGAGAATGGAAGGCTACTGCCTTCTGAGAAAAATTGCATCTAAAAGTTTCTAGAGGTATTTATTTACTTGATAAGTAATTTAAAGAAAATTTGCTCTCCTTTT